GAGGCTTACAAGCCAATCGGAAACGAAATTGTGAAGGAACAGTGTATTGATTTTCCATGCCATAAGATTTTGAAGGATTTGGTTTGTTCTGGGGGTTCCGAGGGTGTTCCGAATGCAATTGGGGCCGTTTCATGGCCGTCTTGGGGCCTCCTGGAGGCATGATGGGGGCCACCTTCAACCGTCTTGATCTTTTTGAGTAATTTTGGAGGCTTTCTCGGAGCACCTCCTCCTACATCCTCCCCCTACCCCTCCTTTACGTGCAAGAACCCAGCCACGCGCGGAGGGTGCATGGAGGAGGGGAGAAGGCATCTCAGAAATAGCCCTGTTTCTTAGAGGACGCGGGCTTCACCTGCAGATGGAAGGCCAGTGCCTTCTGAGAAGCAGCCTCCTTCGAAGAAGCCTTCCCCCCTCCCCCTGCCCCCCTGTGCGCGCCGCCAAAGAGCCACGGCACGCGTGCCACGTGTTATTGCGTCCTCGAGGTATGTGGAGAGCCTGCGCGCAGCCGCGGAGAGGGGGGAGCTGGCGCTGGCCATCTCGGGGGGCCTCGGCCGAGCTGTGGCTGTCCCGGGGGGCGTCCAGTGATGGGCCGATTTCCCACCACCGCTACGATCGGTATTAGGAGGAGTAGCTGGAGGAGGAGGAGGAGGAGGAGGAGGAGGAGGAGGAGGAGGAGGAGGAGAACTTCCCCATCCTCCCTTCTCCCCCGTCCTACCCATGGTAGTGGTGGTGGAAAATTCGCCCATCATCCAAGAGGGTGGTCGAGGACAAGGGGGGGGACATCGCCGTCGAAGGGGGAAGATATCCACCTTCGACGACGATATCGTCGTCGAAGGTGGATATCATCGTCGAAGGCTGGATCCTCCTGGTCCTTTGACGACGATCATATCCCGTGGTCTCTCGACGACGATATCCACCCTTCATCGAAGGGGAAAGATATCGTTGTCGTCGAGCCAGGGGGGTCGGGGAGGAGGTTTCTGGTGGTTCAGGGCGGCGTTTCTCGCGCCGGGGTGCTTTCCAGCAGCTGCGCCTCGTCGAGGGCTTTCTGGGGGTGCCCGGATCGTCCCGATCGGCCTCTGTAGGCCCGAGTTTTGGCTCGAAAACTTTTCGGCATCGACTGCGGTGGTGGGCTTGTTTTCCACCGCCACCACCATAAGTAGGAGGGGGAGGAGGTCCTCCTCTTCTTTCTCCTCCTCCTTATCCTCCACCTCCTTCCTCCCTCCAAATAATGGTGGTCGTGGTGGTGGAAAACAGGCCCATCATAGGGGACTGATGACTAGGGTGGGGAATGTCATCGCCGGGGCCATGCAATCTCCCCGATGTCACGGCCCCCTCTTCTTCATCACGTTCCCTGGCCCCCCTTCGTCCGCGCACATGCCACGGGCCATGATGTGCTGCGATCGGCCGAGACCGAGGCATTCGATCGAGGTCTGCTCGGTAAGAGTACCCTGCTGTTCTTCGTGCTTGTTGGATGCTCTGGTGCATCCAGGGGAGGGTACCCTTGGCTGATCTTTGTGTGTTTTGGCTGGCGGAGGGTTGCATGTCCTTCAAGAATGTTTTTCTGTCTTTGGTCCGACCGTAATTCTTCTCTTCCTGGCCTCCCTCTTCGGCTCACCCGATGTCACCTCGCAGATATCCTGGGCCCAGGATTAGTGAGCACGGTGCCTCCCAGCTGGGCCGGGGAGGCACGTCGATCCTGGGCCCGGGCGGGATCGGCGAGACGGACAGGTGAGCGACGCAGAAAACGGGTCCATTTGCGCCGACATTGGCGAGTAGGCCTCCCGCGTAAGCGCCCTCGTCTCCTGTGCAGAGTGCCGCGCTGGCGAACCGCGCAAGCTGCGGCCTCAGGTCGCTGCGTCATCTCGCCGAAGGCCCGTTTTCGGTCGTCGCCCAGTTGACGTCAAGTTGACGTCCCCCGAGTCATGTTGTGCTGCAAGGAAAATCTGAAGGGCCTGTACCTAAAGGCTGGCTTCAGCTACGCGGGCCCATCGGCCTTCGTTCACGGGCAGGACCCTTGGCACGACATGAAGATGACGCTGGCCTGAGGCGCCAGGGAGGCTGATGCTGTTCGCGCAAAGAAGCTGGAGGAAGAGGAGTGTCGGGTCGGACGTAAGCGGGGGTGGGGGGTTAGGGAAAGGGGGGGTACGAAAAATGCTGCATGCAGCTGGCTTCGGCCCCGCCGCCTGGCGCCTTCCTCGATACAGTGGCGCCTCTGGCGCAGGAGGCGCCAGAAAAATCAGCCATGTGAGCTGATTCGCCAACCCCCTTTCACTAGTACCATCGCCCCCTTCAAGTCTGACCCGGCGGGGGAAGCTGGAGGAAGAGGAGTGGTGCCATTCTCCGCCCTTCTTCTTCCTCCTGCTCTCAGGGGCAACGTTGTGGGGGGGAACAGGCTCAAGGGGACGACCTGGAATCGGCGATACATCGCCGATACAGCGGCGATGGGCCACCGAGAGTGGATCTGCACGCTCCCGGGCGGGGTGGGGTCCCCCGTGGGCGATCAATGGGTGCTTGGGGGTCGATGCATCTCTCCCCGAGCCTGTCCCCCCCAACGTTGCCCATGATCTCCTCCCTCCCCCTCCTCCTCCACCGAATCACCGTCCTCCCCCTCCTCGTTCGCGTCGGCCGCCCTGGGGAAGCCAGAAGGTACTCCCCGGGCCTTTCCCAGGGCGCGTTCTGATCAGGATTTCGAGGCGAATCCAGCCGTGGCGACGAGGGAAGGGTAGCGGTATTGGTACCCCTTCCTCCTCGTCTTCCCTCCCCTCCTCCACAGAATTCCCGCTGTACTTCCCTAGCGTTGCCCCTCCTAATTAGGCTCCTCGACCTCCTCGTCCTCCTCTCTCCCAGCCCAGACGCGAGCGACGCTGCCCCCGAGTACGGGCCCTCGAGCGAGCTGCCGCCGACGCGCCCCCGAGTGCCCCGACTGTTTCGAGGACGGGCCCGAGGACGAGCTGTCGTCAGTATCCTTTGACCAGTTCCTATCCCCATCCCCATCCCCATCCCGAGCCCTACCACCCCATCATTCATGGGGATCTGCCTATATTCTCATCTAGGGGGGTAAATCGACCAGTGGGGCCCAGGGATCGATTTAACGATGCTCATGTCGTTTTGACATTCTGCCGAAACGCTTTTGTAAATCGGGTCCACGACCGGAACAAAACGCGCCAGAGCTCTCTGGGGAGAAGAAACAAAGGCATATTCATAGATTTTCGGAGCTCCGCGCGGATTTCTTGTATCGGCGCTGGGCCCCCCTGGCGGCGCCTACAGCGCCGCCCCCAGCGCGCTCCGCGCACCATGGAAGGGGGTCCAGCGCCGATTCAAGAAGTCCGCGAGGACCTCCAAAAGATTTGTTTGATGTTTATGCTTGTTTTTCTTGCTCTGCTGACGCGCTTTTGTGAATTGAATCCAGGATCGGGATTCATCGCTCCATAGCGTTCTGGAATGTTCTCAGAGCGTTCAGGATCACTCCGAGAGCGCCGTCTGGTCTTCACTTCTTTGCGGTAGGTTCGTGTCGTGTCGACGCGGCTGTGACTCCGCCGCGGGCGGTCAGGGTTGCACGTTGCCAGGGGCCCCAAGTCGGCCAGTGTGGAACGACCTGGCTATTCAAAAGCCACCGATCGTTCAATGTTGAGCGACACGAACCCGCTGTAATTATATTGTTTCCGATGTGCTCCGAACCGCTCGTCAAACCATGCCGTGTAGCTGTCGGGCGCAAGGTCGTCGAGCACTCGGGAGTTGGCTGACGACGTGAGGCGCGCTGAGACTTGAAGAATCGCGCGGTGGACGTCGCCATACCTCGAGAAACAAACAACACCAGAAACATATAGACGTTCGGAGCTCAGCGCGGAGCTCCGAGAAATTCTGCTTATGCAGTTGTTTGTCGCTCCATTCCGTGCAACATCGACGCGCTCTGTCGCAAAACCAGGCGGCACAGGCTTCCTGCTTCGGGGAGTGTTTTTCCCGACGCGTGGATCTGGCACCCGCGCGCCAGATCCACGGATCCGTAGTCCACGTCCGCGTGCGCCCGAAAGATCGCCCCCCGACGGCCCACAGGGCACAGCCAAGCAGGGCTCCACGACTGCCCCGGGGGCCTCCGAGGAGCTCCAACAGAGCTGTACGCGAGGGCTCTCACGAGCCGCCGCCGTCGCCGTCGCCGTGGCCGCCGTCGTCGAGGTAGTCGTCGTCGTCGCCGTAGTCGTTGTCGTCGCCGTCGCCGTCGCCAGCGCTGTCGTCGTCTCCAGTGTCGTCGCCGCCGTCGCCAGCGTCGTCGTCGTCGTCGTCGCCGTATTGGCTTTGTCGCCGTCATCGCCGTCGCGGTCGTCGTCGTCGCCGTCGCCGCGGCCGTCGCCGTCGTCGTCGCCGTCGCCGCGGCCGTCGCCGTCGCCGTCGTCGTCGTTGTCGTCGTCGTCGTCGTCGTTGTCGTCGTCGTCGTCGTCGTCGTCGTCGTCGCCGTAGCTGCCGTCGTCGCGCCAGCGTCGTCGCCGCCGTCGCCAGCGGCGTCGTCGCCGCCCTCGTTGGCTTCGTCACCGCCGTCACCGTCGCGGTTACTCTCGGCGCTGTCGTCGTCGGCGGTTCCGTCGCGGTCGCTGGTGTCGCCGTCGTAGGCGGCGGCGCCGTTTCGCCGTCGTTGCTGCGTCCATGCGTCGTTCGTTTGTCGTCGTTCTCGTCGTCGTCGTCGTCGTCGTCGTCGTCGTCGTCGTTGCCTTGATCGCGGCCTCCGTCGGAGGGGAGGGGAGAAATAGGAAGGACCGGAGGGCAGGGAGAGTTGACTCCTTGCAATCCTCCTCGACCCCCGCCCTCCCTTCCCCGTTGTCCTGATCCACGCCCCTCTCCCCTCCCATCTGTTCCCCCCCCCCGCTCGCCCCTTGTCGCGGCAGTCACCTCGAGCAGAAGGCGCCGCACGCCCTGTTGCGGTGCGCCGACGAGGCGAGCTTGACACCCGTCAGGGGGGACCCACCACGCTCATCATCGAGCTATAACTACTGTCCCCCTCGTCGTTGGCGTCGGCGTCGTCGTCGTCGTCATCGCCGTCTGTCGTCGTCTTCTGTCGTCGTCGTTGTCGTCGTCTTCGTCCTCGTCCTCATCGTCGTTCTCCCCCCCCCTCGCCTCCCCTCGCCTTCCCACCTCCCGGGGCCACGCAGACCCCCGGGCGGTGGGCGCTGGGCGGCGAGCCCTCTCCCTTTTTTCGAGCGCGGGCGCCTCCGCCGCTGCACCACCGAGCCCCCCGGGCCCTCGCCGGCGCCTGCGCGCGCGCGCCGGAAGGCGTCGCTGGGCACAGGTCCTGGCCAGGGAGGGATCGGCAATTCCCCAAACATGCTCGCGGTTTTCTAGGCCATCCCAGATGGGGTCAGAATAGACAGGCTCGGAACATCACGCCGCATCGCCGATGCATCGTCGATGCAGCTCGATGTGGAGCCCGAGTTACTTCACGTCGACGTCGCCGATGCATCGTCCACGTCGACGACGCATCGCCGGTGCATCGCCGATGCATCGCCGATGCATCGCCGATGTATCGGCGATGCGGCGCGATTCTCCGACCCCATCTACTCGGACCCCATCTCGGAGGCCTCCAGTTCTGGAAGCCTCACCCAGGATAAGTTTGGCCGTTTTCCGCCTCAGGGAGCCCTCGCCGGGTCCTGGGGCTGTCGGGAAGCCGCTCGGGATGCAAAGCCGGCCTTGTGGAAGGGGTCGAGATTTCTGGGCACCACGTGCTTTTAACAGAGGATGCTACGTGTCTGGGTCGGGTGCAGGATCGGGCTACATCGCTCTGGTAGGGGGCAACGTTAGGGTTAGGTCGGGCCTGTTCCCCTACAGGGGGATTTGGGGCGAAACATAAAGAACTATTTGCAAAATACCCCCAACATGCTCAAACGTAGTCAAACAATAGTCCCCAGACTTTTTTTTGCCTATTTGTGAATATCCCTCCTGCAGAGGGACAGGCCCGATTTAATGATAGGGAGGAATCCGCTCGGGGGGGGCGCATCGGCCCCCGAGCGCCCCTTCATCACCGATGCTAGCCCGATGCCCCGCTCCCGCCCAGTGGCGCACGGATTCGCCATCGGGGGCCTATCGCCGATCTGTCGGCGATGCGTTGCCGATTCTGGCTGGACGTCTTCCCCCCTGAGCTGGTCCTCACCTAACGTTGCCTCCCTTCCAGAGCCCTCTGGGACCGTCTCAGACCGCTCTGGAACGCTCCGGGAGTGCCGATACCGCCACCCTCCCCCTCGCCTCCCGAGGTCCGGCGCTGCGAAGAAAGTCGCAGCACTCCGAAGCATGACGACCGGAGCCCCACACCAATCCGCATGCTGCTCTTTGAGGGCCGGATCGATCTGCGATGGCCCCAGGGCTCGAAGTTCCCCCTTCGGGAGCCGCTCCCTCCGAAGAAAACGGGTACCACGACCAAGACCGAACGTGGAAACGTCGTGTCGATCTTGGTCACTGTCGACCTTGGTCAGCGTCAACTCGTGTACCATACTCGCGAATCGGCGATGGCCGACATGGACCGGGACCACGATCGGCATCGACAGAAGCCCTCGGCGAATGTTGCCCCGCAGACCCCCCGAGGGGCATGCCGGGCGACCCCTGGCGCGGCGGATACTGCGCGGCCGTCGGCGAGGAGGAGGGGACGCCCGGGGCTCGCTGGAGCTCCGCGCGCGGTCCGGGGGGGAGTGCCCCGCGTCGCCGCTGTCTCACCATGAAGCATACGGCGGCCACGCGCTGGAGGGGGTAGGGGGAGTGGGGAGGGCTTCTCAGAAGCACCTCCGCTTCTCAGAAGCCGCGGGCCTTGTCTATAGATGCAGGGCTTGCGCCCTTTCAGAAGCAGCCCTCTTCTAAGAAGCCTTTCCCCCTCCCCTACCCACCCCCTTGCGCGCGCTGCCAATCGGCATGAAGCATACGGGTCCTGAGGGAAACCTGTAAACAAGCATCGAGTCCGCATTTCCTCGCAGTCTTCGGCCTCGGGGGGCCCTCGCCAGGCGCCAGGGCCGTCAGAGAGCGAGCCAGGATGAACAACAGGACCGTCAGAAGACGACTGAGGAGGAAAAACCGGCCCAGGGGACAGGGCCGGGACTTCGGGGACCGCCCACGAAAAAGATCAAGACCTCGGCTGTCTGGTTTCTGAGGTCTGCATTTTAATTCTAGACGCTTCGCGAAACCCCACCAGTCCATCCAGAAACGATGCCCAGGCGAGTTGCCCTGATCAGGCATGTGGGGTAGCACGCAGTGGAATCAAGGCTTGGAGGCGGTCATATACCAAGGGGGGGAGGTGACGGAGGAGGAACCAGACGCAGAGGATGAGGAGGGGGAGGAGGGAGGAGGGAGGAGGAGGAGGAGGATGAGGCGGATGAGGAAGATGAGGCGGAGGAGGAGGAGGAGGAGGACGAGGAGGAGGGCGAGCAGAAAGGCCAGAGGTCTTTTAGATGCTTGTCGGAGTCTCTTCGGATGTCTCTTGAGAGCTTCTTGTAGGCCTCTTGGGGCCTCTTGGGGGCCTCTTGGTGGTCCTGGGGGCCTCTTGAAGTGTCTTGGGTGCCTGAGGGGAGCCTCTTCGAAATTATTGGGGGGTCTTGATGGGGGGGGGCCTAAGGGGCCTCTTGGGGCCTCCTGGGCACCTCTTGGGGATCTCTTGCGGCACTCTTGGGAGCCTCGGGGGTCATCTTGGGACCATCTCGGAGGAGATCGATCAAATAAGTGCCCGTGGTAAATCCACGTCCCCCCCAGGAGGCTAACGTGAAACAATCTTAGTATCACCAATGTTTGTGGGGACCACGGTATTGCTTCGATTGTGCCTCGGCCTGTCGTTTCTCATCTTGCGGTCTCCGCAACAGTTGTGGTCTCAAGCTCCAGCGCGCTGAGGGCCCGCTGCCAGATGGTGGTGGCGGGCCTCTGCGCGGCCCTGGCGGAGGCTGGGCCCGGCGTGTTGCGCGAGCTGGCGCGCGGGGCGGTGGCGGAGGCGGCACGAGTGGCTCTCGGGGCGGGCGAGCGCGCCGCCCCCCGACTGCCGCCCTCTGTCCTGTCCAGCCTGCCCGGTCTGACCGCCGCCGCTGTCCTGCCCCCTGGCGTGGCCGCCCTGGCTGGCGCCGGTGCTGTGGGCGATCCCGCTGGACGCGGGAGCGCGGCTCCCTCGGCATCCCCTCTGCCGGTGGCCGCCCGTGGACATGTCGACCTACGAGGAGCGCCGCCCAGGATCGCGCCTGCTAGTGAAGTTCGACGGCGATGAGTGGACGCACGAGCGGTTCCTGCTCTGGCCCGTCCACCCAGACGGGCGTCACGAGTGCTAGGTGGTGGAGACGCCCGACGGTGACCGCGATGTGGAGCGGAAGGCGGACTGGCGCTGGCACGTCTCGCTGCTGCACGTATTCGGGTATCCGCCGTGCTGCGTGAAACGCTGGCAAAGGTGAAGCGCCGTCCCAGCCCCGCGAAGCTCGCAGCCGTCCAGAGCCTCCTCACTGCTCTCTCCTACAGCTCGGCGCCACCCCTTGATTCTTGCCACTCCACCGAGAGCTCCCGGACGTCCTCGCGACTGGCGGCCTCGCCGCCCTCACGAGAGTGTCAGCGCCTCCTACGGCGGTGGGCTCCGCGCGGGCCACGTCGCGGAGGTCGAGGGGGGCCTCGGCGGCGGGCGGCGATGCGTCGGCCAGAGCCGCCCGCTCAGCTACCCTACCATCGTTGGCGAACGCCTCGGCGCGCCCGGTGGACACGTCGCCGATCGAGACCCGCTCGCACAGCACGGGGCGCCCATCGGGGCGGCTACCGACCACCTTCGACCCCGCCGCGACGTCGCCAGAGGTCGGCGCGACCTCATCGCCGAGCTGCAGGCCGCCTCCCGCGTGCAGCTCCGCCACCAGCAGCGCCGTCTTGGCGTCTTCCAGCGGGGGCGGGCCCAAGGCCGGGCGCGTCGCCTCCTCGTCGCCGGGAGTCTCGGGGACCTGCGGGGCGCTCGTGAGATCGCGCTTGCCCCGGAGTCGCCGCCGCGCCCCTTCGAGCACCCCCGTGTCCAGGCCGCACTCGTCACCGTGCCAGTCCACCATCCTGCTCGGCTCCTCCCCGAGGGGGGCACCCAGCCCCGCGGGCAAGCGGCGCCTGCGGCGCTCCTCGCGCGCGAGCTCACGGCCCTCCAGCACCATCCCTTGGAACCTGGCGACGTCGCAGCGGAAGCCCTTAACCTCGGTGGGCCGGCGTGCCTGGAGGTCGCGGCTCGGCGCAAGGCGCAGATCGCCGAGGCGCATCGGGTCGAACCTGGGCAGCCGGCTGCTTCGGGGGCGGGGCGTCTCCTCACTGGCACCGGCGACCCCTTCGACGTGGCGTCGCCCGAGCTGCGGAGTTTCGCGAACCGCGCGGCCCGCGGCGGAGCGGACCGCCAGGTGGCGCTCGGGCGCGGCCGCGCGCTGGCAGTGGGCGGGCGCGGCGCTGGGGGCAGTGGCGATGTGGCTGGCGCGCTGGGTGCTGGGGGCCACCCCCCGCGCGGGCGCTGAGGACGGCGGCGGCAGAGGCAGCGGCGGTGGTCGTGGGCGCGTGCGAGGCAGGGCGAGGCCTGGCGACGCAGCGGCTGCCGCCGTGTCCAAATGATGGGCACGGGGCCGGGGGTGAGGCCCCCCCTGGGCCTGGAGGCAGAGGCTCTGCGAGGCGGGCAGGTCTACCCGCTGCCTGGACAGCGCGAGCTGGGCGCTGACTTGGCAGCCCCGCTCGGTCGCCGTGGCCGTGCGCGCGTGCGCCACTTGGCCAACGAGGGTCTGGCTAGCCTGAACTGGTCGCGCTGAACGGCGGCTTCCTGCGGCGCCGCTTAGCCTCGCCACGCGGTCCCGCGTGGCGGACATCCAGCCCGACGCGCTGCGGCGGACGCAGGTCCTGGCTGCCAGCTGGGGCGCGACCGCCCGCGCGGGCGATCCGTGGCAATGTCTTGCGCGGCTGCTGCGGGGCCGAGGCGGATACGCCCAGCTGGCCCATGCGACGCTGGCCCCCTTCTCCCACGCTCGGCTGTCGGTCCCCGACGATATGGCTGGCGCGCCTCGCGTCGCGGACCTGCTGCCGAAGGCGGCGCGGATGCAGTTGAAGGATTACGAGAGCCACGTGGTGCGTTCACGTGAGGAGGTGGACGAAAGTCACGCAAGATGCGGTCCAGTTCGACCTGCGTGGGCCCAGTTTTGAGTCACGCGCGCCCCATCTACATCGGTCTGGTCAGGCGGCTGCTGAAGGTGGGCTTGGTGCGGCTGTCTACTACGTGCCGTTGCCAGGTGGTGGTATTGTTCGACAGGAAGAAGGGCGATCGCCAGCGGCTGATCCTGGACCGCCGCCAGGCGAATCGTCTGTTCAGGAGCCCGCCCGGGGTCGACTTTGTCAGCGGAGATGGTCTCAGCCGCGTCGAGAGGTTGACGGCGGGCGGCGCTGACCTAGGCGAGGAGCTGGGCGACGCCCTGGGCGGCCTGGACACCCGGCTCGGCGCGCGCGACGTGACGGACTGCTTCCGCGGGCTCCTGCTCGACAATGGGCTTGGGCTGCATGAGGTTTTCGGCTGCCCCCCGCTGCGGGCCTGCGAGCTGGGCCTGGCGCAGCTGGACGGCGCGGCGCTCGGCAAGGACACGCTGATATACCCCCTGGCGCGCGCGCTGCCGATGGGGTGGGCCCGGTCGCTGCATTTCGCCCAGTCGGCCAACGCGCGACGCGTGGCGGAGCTGCGCGAGCTGGAAGGCGCGCTGGAGACGGCCGACCGCGGGCCCCTTCTGATCCTGGATGGCCCGCGGGCCTTGGGCCACTGCACCTGCGTTGACAATGTCGGGGTGTTCTGCGGGGCGGGGGGCCAGGTTCGCGCGGCCCTGACGGCGGCCGCGGAATCTTTCGGCACCGTCGGCCTCGAGGTGCACGAGACCTCCTTGAGCAGCGCAGGCGGCGAGGCCTTGGGCGTGCAGCTGGACGGGCGCGCAGGCTGCACTCGGTTTGCTCCCGCCAGGTTCTGGCGAGTGCGAGGCGCGGTGCAGGCGCTGCTGCGACGCCGCAGGGTGAGCGGCCTGGAGCTGGAGATCGTCGTGGGCCACCTTGCGTTCGTGGGCCTGGTGCGCCGCGAGAGCCTGGGCTGCCTCCACTGCGTCTACCGATTCAGTCAGCGCCGCAACTTCGATCGAGTTGCGCTGTGGGACAGCGTGGTGCAGGAGCTGCGGGCCTTCTCTGGGCGGGTGATACTTTTGCGCGCAGACTGGAGCGCTGGCTGGCTGCCTGGGATCCACCACTCGGATGCGTCACTCGACGGCCTCGGGCTGGCCTGCTCGCTGTGGGGGCCAGAGGACGTTGGGCGCGTGGGTCGCACCTGCGAGCGCGCTTGCTATCGTCTGTGCGCGGGCGCCGCGCGGCGGCGCGCTGTCGAGGCTGCCAGCCTGGAGCTGCTGGCGGACGGCGGCGTTGGCGCCCGAGAGGCGACGCCCGCGATCCCGGGCGCGGAAGTGGCGCGCTGGAGCCAGGGCGCCGATTTTGAGGAGGTGGTGGCGGAGCTGCTGCATGCGGCGCGCTGGCGGGCGGTCTTGGCATATCGGTGGGCCTTCGAGGGAGTGGTCCTCCATCTCGGAGGTCGAGCGCTGGTCGTGGCCGTGGAGCGCGCGGCTAGTTCTCGCGCTGGCCATGACGGCCGAGCCCTTCCGCTGGGGGACAACATGTCGGTGATCCTCGCCTTCTCACGGTCGCGGGCCAGGGGCTTCAAGCAGCTGGCGATGATTCGGCGCGCGGCCGCCTGTTCCATCGGGCGCGGACTCAGGTTCAGTTATAGGTGGATGCTTTCTGAGTTCAACAGCAGCGACGCGAGGGGCATATTGTTTGCGAGGGAGTACGAGGCCGAGAAATGCGCGACCCACCTGCTGCCTCAGGTGGGAGAGAGACGTGACAGAGATGAGAAGGCCTTTGATGGCCTGGGCCCTAGCGCCTGGTCGGATGCCCCTGCGGTCGCCTCGCGTGCAGAGCCCTCCTGTCTCGAGGAGGGCGGCCCTGCGGCGCCGCGTGCCGCCGCGGAGCCAGCCGACGCGGGCGCGGGTGCTGGCGCGCGCCCTGCTGGCGCCGCGGGGGGCGGTGGGCGCCGGCGGACCCCGAGCGTCGAGCAGCCGCCCGCGACGGGCGCGCGCGCCGAGCAGGGCAGCCACCGGCGAGCTGGAACGCCGCGCGGCGGCGGGCGGAGCGCCCCCGCCAGCGGGCCTGAAGCGGGCTACCTCGACGCCATGGGGTCGAGCCGCCGCCGCCCTCCTGATGGGCGCCAGGGCCGCGGGCGCGACCGCCGCTGCCGCCATGGGCGACAGCGAGAGCAGCTTCGAGGAGGAGCTGCCAGGGCAGGCGAGCTCGCGCGCCGACGCCCACCGGGCGACCGCGCGAGCGCGCCGCGCGGCGTGGGAGGAGCTGCCGCCAGCTCAGGTTTTCCTGGAGGCCCACGGCGTGAGGGCGTCGGCCCGCGCGCGGTGCCAGATACACGTTGACGAGCTAATCGCGGTCGCGGGCCAACAGGGCGCGCCCCTCGGAGAGGATGCCGAGGTCGAAGGTTGTATCGCGACGTGGAAGATGGCGGAGTTTGGCGTCGGCCGACGCGCCTGGCTCGAGAAAGGCATGCTGGCCGCCGTGATGTTCCCGAGCGGGCGGAGCCTGACGCGCAGCAGGACAGGCGAGGCGGACGGCATGGTGGTGATGGTCTCGGTCCGAACGCCCTGGATAGGGTGCATGCTGAGCCGCCTGGAGCGCGGCCCCGAGGACGAGAATGCGTTTCCATGGTGCCGCAGTCTATTCTATCAGATGTTCGAGCAGGCGATGGCGGCTCTGGGATGCGACATGGTGCCTTGCAAGGGCCGCCACGGCGGGATCTCGACCGACATGGCTCATCGGGACCGCAGTTTAGGCGAGTGCATGAAGCGGTGGAGATGGGGGGCCGCCAAGAGCGTGGCGCGATGCAGGAAGGCTGACCGCCTGAGCGACGCGTGCGCGAGCTGCCGCCCGCGCAGCAGGCCCGCGTCCTCGACTGCGGGCGCCAGCTCGAGGAGTGCCTCGTGCGCGGGCGACGTTGGCCGACGCCAGCGCTCCGCCCGTGACGCCCTTCCTCGCGGAGCTGTTCAGCTGGGGTGGGCGAGTGGCGGCGGCTGCGAGGCACGCGGGCTACAACTCGCGGGGGTGGGACATTCGTGCCGGCCCGCTGGGCGACCTGCTGCGGCCTTGCGTGGGGGCGGAGATCCGTCGCCGCCTGCGGAGAGGGGAAGTGCTGGCGATCATGATGGCCCCGCCCTGCCTCCTCCTCGGTGGTGCAGAACGTGAACGTGCCCCTGAGGAGCAAGTTTTTCCTCGAGGCCTCCCAGGTTTGCCTGGACCTCAGCGCGAGAAAGTTGCCCTTGGAAGTGCCTGTCTGGATTTTTGCATTCGAGTGATCCGATTGCGTTGTCGTCTGCGGGTCCCGTTCTGTCTGGAGCACCCGCATGGCAGTTATATGTGGCGCGATCCTGCTCTGGCCTCGCTCCTCGGCCGCGCGGACGTTCGAATGTCCTCAGTCACTCGTTGTGCTTTCGGGGCGCCCCACAGGAAGGCTACCAGACTGGTCTTCGGCGGAAGCGATTCAGGTTTGGGCCTCTCGGGGCGCCCAGGGGCCGTGGCCTGTGCAGGGACGCGCTGTGTTTGTTCCTTCTCGGGCCAGAAGCATATTCTAGAAGGACGAAGCGCGCGCGAAGCCGCGGCCTACCCCCATAAACTGGCAACTCTTCCAGCTCGAGCCCTGCTGTCACCCGTTTGGATCGAACGACATTCGATGTGACTGGTCCAGCCGTTTTGTGCTCAGGACCCTCGCCTGAAGTTCTTTATAACGTCCGCCTGGCGGCAGCTCTGCCCCCGTGGCTGTGAACTTCGGTCTTGGGACTCTTAAGCTTTGGGATCTGCGCAGACGTCTGCTGATCGAATTTCGACCGCGAGCGGCCCCACAAGTGAGCGCGCTCTCTTCTTTCGCGTCAGTGGTGTAATCTCAGGGCCCGTCTCGCGACAGAAGTCACTCGCCGCCGAGACATTTAGAATGGCCATGTGTTGAGCCCCGTGGCATGATCTGTGTGACTATAGGGGGAGGTGGTAGGTAGCAGCAGAGAGTAGGTAGCTGTAGCAGAGAACATCATAAGCATGTTGCATTGCACTGCAGCCCTTTCGGTCCCGAGCGCAGGGGAAGGGGCCCCTCTCCTCTTCTCCTCCTCCGCGCGCGCGCGCCGCCGCGACATGGCAGCGGGGCGTGGCTGCTGAGAACGGCCCGCCAGGCCGTCGCAACAGTGAGCCTTGAGCCCGCCCCCGGTGCGGGGGCGGCGCCGCCCGGGCCCGGGCCGCCGCAAGGGCCGCCGCCTCGGCGGACCGCCCGCCCCTCCCGCCCCCCCCCAGGGCCGCCCGGGGAGCACCCAGCCCGCAGGCGCAGGGCTGGCCGTCCGGAGGGCGCGATAGCCTTCTTCACAGCCGGTCGCACTTCGACCAGCACGGGGCCAGGGCAAGCCCGCCAACGAGCGAGTGAGGAGCAAGGGAGCTCGCGGACTGCGGACGAGCCGGCGGAAGCTTAGACTCCGACTCAAGCAGAAGGACCCTGCATTCAGAGAGGGCCTGTGCAACGAGCTGGGCGCCAGACAGAGAGAGTCTCTAGGTCTGACTGGCCGCTCTCCCGACAGCGACAGACCGACGCGAACGCTTGGAGGCTCTCTGGGGGCCCTACAGGCGGAGGGTCGCAGGCGTGGCGCCGACGCTGGCCACAGGCAGCTCGTGTCAGACTCGCGGAGTCGATCCCCGGCCAGGCCGCCAGTGGAAGTTGCGTGCCAGTAGGCGCGAGTGGTTCGACAACAGCCACTGTCGCGCCATCCAGCTGCTGCAGTTGGACGGGGGCGAGCTGTTCGAGAAGGCCAAGCCGCTCTTGGACAGGCGCAGAGAGCTGCAGGCCCGACTGGGCGCTGGAGAAGCCACTGGCCGCGAACGGCGCGGTCTGCCGGGTGCTCGAGGAGCTAGACGTGCGCGCCACCGCGCTTGCTGAGCTTGCTGAGCTTGAGGACAGCAAGGCTCGGCGCGAGCAGCGCCTCCAGGACGCCGACGAGGCGCCGCCGAGCCACTCGCAGCGCGGAGCTACGAGCTCAGCGGCTGCTCCAAGCCGCCCCAGGCCGCCCGTCGCGCCCCAGCGGCAGCACGAGGCGGCAGAGCAAGGGCAGCCAGGCTGTCCCGAGCGCCAGAGTGCCAGAGCAAGCGTCCTCCAGCGCATCGATCACCTGCTTGCACGAACCCTCCGCGATGCTGGCCGCGTCGGGGAACGCCCACCTCTCGCGCGGCCCGTCTGCGAGAACCCGCTCCCATCCCATCGGGCCGACAGGGGCCCGCCCATGCTGAAGCAACAGGGCCTGGAGACCTGAGACGGGCCCCCGCGCCAGCCGCGACCTGCGCTCGGGCTCTGCCTCGCGAAGCCTGGCGTGGATGGGGGTCCATGCCCGAGCAAGTCGCCTCCTCACCTCCTGGCAGCCGCGCCAGACCTCGAACCAGCACCTCACGGGGGCGCGGGGCAGGCGCCTGGCGGGGCCAAGGGCCCCGCGCGCAAGGCCAGGTGTGAGGTGAGGCACCGCCCGCGCCGCGTCGCGCCCGAGACCGCAGCGAGGCGCCTGCGGAGCTCGGCCAACCTGCTGCCGAAGACGCCGTCGACCTCGTGCCCGTAGGAGGCTGCAGCCTGGACCCCGACCTGCTCGACGAAGCTGCATTTCAGGTGCTGCCTCGAAGCTCGCGCCATGCGTCGAAGCCGCCTGTGCGACCCCCGAGTCTTTCTTGGCCATGCGCTTCAGGGCCGCGCGGCGAGCAGGCCTCCTGCCAGCGGCAAGGTCGACGCCCAAGCACGTGCCTTGGCTGGCTGCCTGTACCACAAGGCCTTGACGCTTGGCGACCTGGGCGATGGGCCTCGCGTCCTCCAGCTGCGTGCAGACCACGACGCTCTTCGGGGAGATCTGCAGGCCTCTTGCCGCGCACCGTCGCCGAACTCCACTCTGCCCTGCGCGAGCGCGCCCGCCACCGACTGGCGCGTGCCAGCGGCGGACAGCGAGAGGTCATCGACCCAGATGCGCGACGGGAGGAGCTGCGGCGAGCCGATGGTGAGCCGCTGCAGCGCGTGGTAGGTCATGCGCCTGCCGAAGCCGATGCGCGTGCCCGACCTGGCGCCCTGCACAACCGACTGGCAAGGGATGACGAAACGAGAGGCCATGCCATCTTGCAAGAGAACCCTGCCCGCCATGCACTGCTGCAGCTCCAGCGCGAGGACCGCAGGCGGGAAGCCGCAACTGAGCGCGGCGCGTGCCAGCCCGACCCACGGCATGCTGTCGTAGAACTTCTGAACGTCGATCAGGCCGTGGCCGTAGTTGACGCCCATCGCGGCGAAGGCTTCTTCGCTGACGGCTCCAGCGAAAGCCTCGCGAAGGGCTGAGTTACCAGCGATCGCGGCGCCCCGCGCCGGCGCCGTGCGCCTCGACCATTCGCGCATGGCGTCCTCTCGAACCATGCTCCAGCACCTGGTGACCATGCTGAGGGCGCCAATGACACGCCCCCCGCCATCCTTCTTCCCAAGGACGTGGCCGAGCACCAGGAGGAGTTGGCGCGGTCAGGTGGCGGCGCGCTCCGCCGCGGCGCACAGGTCGGCAAGTTCCTGCAGCGCCGCGTCGGGAAGCCATGCCAGGTCGGAAACCGTAAGCTGGTCCACGCCCTTGCCCGTCTTGGCCCGCATGCGCTGCAAGGCGCGGCGGATGTCGTCGACCTTGATGTCGGCAAGCTCGGAGAACTGCGCCTGATCGCGGAGGTCGCTGAACAGATCCAGCACCTCGCCCATGTCGATGGCCTGTGGGGCCCACAGCCGCTCCCAGGCGCTGGCCTTGTGGTCGAGGACCTCGCAAGGATGGACCACTGCGCGGTCCCCGATCAAGAGCTCATCGGCCGCGACGTGGCGCTCCTTGAGCGATCGGAAGACCAGCGGGGTGGCCTCCGCCTGCGCGATCCACTGCCGAAAGCGGCGGAGGGACCCCTGAATCTCTTTCTGCCTGGCACTCGAAGCTGCCGCCTGAGCTGCCTCGACCAACCAGGCCAAAACGTCGTCGGCCACGCTGTGGATGTCGCCGAGCCCAGCTAGCAGCCGCCGCAACACCTCACGATGACTGCGGCAACCAGGTTCTCGCCGCTCCTCACGTTTGCGTGCGCCCCAGCTCTCGCCACTTGCAGGCTGCTCGCTCTCGCCTCCCCAAGTTGGGTGGTTCCCACTGCTGAGCGCGAACGGGGGAGGGGGGGCCTGCAGCGGGCCCTGACCCTGTGAGGCTGAAGGCTGAGGCTGCGGCCCTGCGGGGGCCGACCGAACTGGGCGCCGACCACCATAGCGAGCCCCAGATCTGCGTGCCGAGAGGCGCCCGCGAGCGGAAGCGGGGGCGCGCTCCAGGAGCTCGCGGCCCGCCGCGGCCAGCAGGCGAGCGTCCTCGTCGGTGGCCCCGCGCCGCCGTCGGAGCTTGCACGCCCGCTCCAGCAACGCAGCGACGGAAGACCACCATCGCGGGGCGGCGCTGCGGAGCGGCTCGTTCCTGGCGGCAGCGCTGGTCGGGCACTTGACTTCAGCGCGCTGAGCCAGCTGGCTGCGCCGACGCCGCCCGTGCACTGGCTTCCTGTGGTGCTGGCCCACCGCCCTCTCGACGTGCTCGACCCAGTCCGCGTGCCATGCGCTGAGCTGACCGATGTGAGCGCCGCCCGCTGCTGCAGCAGCAGATGCTGCGAGCGGGCCCTTCATCGCCGTCCTCTGCCTGAGGTGGGGCTGCCGTGCTCCTCCAAGCCTCCTCTCCGGTGTCGAAGTTGGCCTGACCTCTCGCCGCCGAGGGCAGGTGCTGCGACGACGTGGGGCTGAATCCCACCGCGCCTGCCCCCGTCCTGGCCGCCAGGGGGCCGCCGCAGCGTTCCTGGCCGCGCCAGTGGGCTAATGAGGCCAAGGCGGGTGGCTCCGACCTGGCGCTGCCGCCTCCTGCGGGGCTGCCAGGAGGGGCGCAGGGGCCCTCGCCGATGACGCCCAGCGCCAGGGGGGCGGCGTCGGAGGGACCTGCGGTGGGGTCGCAGCTGAGCTCGTCCCCGTTCTGGTGGCCCACCTCCAGCTCCTTGTCCAGGTCGTCGAAGGGGTCGGCCTCCTCCTCATCCATCCGCGCAGCGGCCTGCCCAGCAGGGGGCGGCGGCACGGCCCAAGAGTGACCTCCCGCCTCCTCGTCGATGCTGTCTCCACCGTCGTCGCTGCTGGCAGACCCCGGACGAGTAGAGAGCTCATCAACCTCGCGCTCACGCACGTGACTCCCGAAGAGCTGGTCGTGGATGTCCAGCTCCTTCTTCCGCGCAAGGGCGCGGCGCTCGGCGTCGCCGTGGCGACGACCTCGTCGACTGCTGGACGCGACGCCCCTCGGCCTCTGCACCTGCGGCAAGCCCTTGGCGAGCTGCAGCTGCCGCCCCAGCAGGGTGTCGTGGCCCGAGCGCAGCTCGACCACGAGACCACCGCGCGTGCCCCACGGTGCCGCAGCAGCCCAGATGCCAGCCAGCATCGGGGCGCACGAATCGGAGCAGAGGCCGTGGTCGATGTGCGAGCCCGACGGCCCCGCATCACAGGTGGTGGCCGCGTTCGCCTGGAGCACCCTGGCTCCCACCTGCCGCAGGAAGTCCGCCTTCTGCAGCACTTGGCACGGCAAGTTGAAGTCGCCGAGGACGAACCACGGCGCCTGCAGGGCCTGCAAGAGACCTCCCAGCTTGGCGAAGCGCCGCAAGCTGCTCCCGCTCCACCCGACGCCGCTGATGCCGTAGAAAGTGACGACCACCACCTGGCGCTGGCCCTTGAGGTGGATGGCGCCGGCCTGGAAGCCGTCCGCCGCCTCCGCCCCTGGGGCGGCCAACGAGCTGTCGCAGCTGCCCTCCAGCGTGTGCGTGTAGTGGCCGCGCCTGCGCAGAACTCATTCCCCGCCTTCTGTGCCGCGACCGAGACTGTCGCCGACACCTTCCAGAACGCCCTTCCTGGAGGGCCTCGCGTGATTGGCCGGGATGCGCAGGTCCAGCTTCCTGGCGGCCCAGCGCCGCTTCTCAAATTGACCAGCACGCACATGCGTCTCAACGCAGGCGAACGAGTGAAAGCGCCCCAGCGACTCCTCGACGAACCCGCAAGCCTGCGGACCCACCGCCGTGATATTCGCAAATAATTACCGATGGCCACCACAAACTCTCTCGTCGGAGTCCCTTCCGCTCTTCTCGCCGTCGCCTTCATGAAATGCCCTGTCGGCCTGTCGTCCCTCCTCGCCAGCGCCTGGCGCTGCGGCCGCAGAGGAGGGTCCGCTGGCGGCGAGGCCGAGCCGACCTCGACCCGACCTGCGGCCGCTAGTCAAGCCGTGGCACTGGCCGCCTCGACGCCCTGGCCAGCGCTCCCCAGCGGGGCGGCAGGGGCAGCCGAGCCCGCGGCGGCGGCTGCCCGCGCCGCGCGCGTGGCGGCGAACTTGGCAGCGCTGAGCTTCTTGGCGGCCACGGCGATCGTGCTGCCGCCGTCCGCCTCCGTCGGCGGGGAAGAGGCCTCGCTGACGACCTCCTTCTCCGCGTCGAAACCTCCACCTTCCTCGCGTGGGGGGGAGGTGGAGCCCGTGCGCCGCTTCCTGGTGCTGCGCTGCTGGGCCTCCGCCGACTTGGACGCCGCCAGCTTGGCGCGGATGATCTCGGCCTTGCCCGCCATCTCGGTCTTGGTCTGGATAAGGGACCGCTCCAGGAACTGCAACTCCCCTTGCTCGGCGGGCGAAAAACAAGCCACGTCCGTGAAGACGGCAGGATCCCCGGACAAGTGAAAAGCTCCTCCGAGACACCCGACACCCGCGCCGACTCCGCCGCCTGCCGCGCCACTGCGGCCGCAGCGGCCGCCTTGGACTGCTCGGCCTCCGCCGGGGCGACGGCGAGTTCCGCCTCCTTCGCACGCGCCGCCGCCGGTCCTCGATGCGCAGCACCGAGTCGAGTGCGCCCTGGTGCCGACGTGCTTGTGCAGGCCTGTCGCCTTGCGGAAGACCTCGTCGGGGGGCTTCTCCACCTCGGCAGGCGGCGGTGGAGCAACCAGCCGCTGGACCAGCTGGATGGCCGCCGCAGCCTGGGGCTCCCCGCCCGCCTTCGCAGCCAGGTGCGAAAGGAAGACCGAGAAATCGGAGCCCCCCAGGCTGCTGGAGCCAGCGTCGCTGCTGCCGCCGCCACCGCTGCGGTGCCAGGGGCACGGCTCGACGAGCCTGCCCGAGCGCCGCGCGGCCCCGCGCACAGGAGGACGGCTGTTGCCGCGACGCCGAAACGGCTCCACCTGCGCGCCACAGCGACACTTCCAGCCAGCCTCGCACCAGGTGGCGTTCCAGTGCCAGCTGGCGCACGCCTGACACTTCGTCCAGTCGTCGATGAAGGCCACGCGGCGGGCTGCCCGCGGGATGCTGCCGCCCGTGCCGCCACTGCTCGAGCCGCGTGCCTGCGGCGGGGCAGGCGAGCGCGCGGCAGGCGAGCGCGCAGCCTTGCGGCCCATTGCTGTTCGCTCCGAATCGGTCGGGGAGAGAGACGGCGGCCAACCGCGGTGACCCTCCCGTCACCAAGAACGCCTCGCGAAGGCTCGGAGCTGGCCCGAGGGTGCCGCGCAGGCACGCCCAAGCCAAACGGTTCTTGATGATAGGGTGATGCTGATGATGATGATGATGATGATGATGATGATGATGATGATGATGATGATGATGATGACGATGACGATGACGATGATGATGATGATGATGATGATGATGATGATGATGATGTATGATGATGATGATGATGATGATGATGATGATGATGATGATGAGGAGGTGGAGGATGAGGGAAGGGGAGGAGGAGGATGGAGGTGATGAGTGATTGAGGGTGTGCCCGGCTGATTGCTGATGCTCTGATCGCTAATGCTGATGCTGATGGATGATTGCCGGATGATGCTGCTGCTGCCTGATGAGACGTCGATGATGTGCATGCTGATGTGATTATGATGATGATGATGTTGATGACTGATTGATGATGATGATGATAGCTTGCATTTGATGATGCTGATGCTGATGCTGATGCTGATGCTGATGATGATGATGATGATGATGTGGTGATGATGATGATGATGATGATGATGATGATGATGATGATGATGATGATGATGATGATGATGATGATGATGATGATGATGATGATGATGATGATGATTATGATGAAGATGATGATGATGATGATGATGATGATGATGATGATGATGATGATGATGATGATGATGATGATGATGATGATGATGATGATGATGATGATGATGATGATGATGATGATGATGATGATGATGATGAGGGTCATGACCATGCTCATGGCTGTGGTGGTTGTGATGGTGGTGGAGGTTGTGGTGAGGAGGAGTAGGAGTAGGAGTAGGAGTAGGAGTAGGAGTAGGAGTAGGAGTAGGAGTAGGAGTAGGAGTAGGAGTAGGAGTAGGAGTAGGAGTAGGAGTAGGAGTCAAGCTAGCCAGCTCGAGCGAAGTTCAAAGCGGCATGCCTAGAGTCACACCCGCCCTCCACAACATAAGAAGCAAAGCTGGCAACTGCGGCCGCGATGGCGGTTGCCGACGGGAACTGGCGAGCGCGTGTTGAATGCCGCGCGCGCATTGCCAGACGAGTCGAGAATGGCCCGGTGCACCGCAGGAAGCCAGAGGTGGCCGGAGGAAGCCCGACGGTCTGACAGGACACCCCAAAGCATTTTTGTGAAAAAGCATTGGGTTTTTGATGTTTTTATGTTGAAATGCTTGCAACACACGGTGTTCGGTAGGATTCTGACATGAACGCGCGAGTGTGCTCTTTGTGGTATTTTTTTGCACAGGATTCGCGGCCTGGGTGCATGACAGAGCATCGCGAGTGCACCGCGCGATGACGTGAAATCGCTGGATTTGACAGAATTCTTAAGATTCCTATGGTTTTCCTATGATTTCAGCAAGAGAGCCCGGGCGGGAAATTTGTACAATTTTTGTGAAAAAGCATGGGGTTTTTGATGTTTTTATGTTGAAATGCTTGCAAACACACGGTGTTCGGTAGGATTCTGACATGAACGCGCGCGTGTGCTCTTTGTGGTATTTTTTGCAATGGATGATCGCCGTGGACGACAGGACGTCCATGTCGAGAGGAAAAAAATAAGAAAAATAATGATTTTGTATTGTTTTTTTTTACAGGTTAGGATGGGACCACCCGGATGCGGCCCCTATCTGCCGGCCTGAGGGGGGAGTAGGAGTATATTCTAATAAGGAATAAGGATAGGAGTAGGAGTAGGAGTAGCAAGAAGAGAGTGGGAGATAGGAGGAGGAGGAGGAGGTGGAGGAGGAGGAGAGGAGGGAGGAGGAGGAGGAGGAGGAGGAGGAGGAGGAGGAGACGAGGACCCAGCAAGAGGAGGGCTGGGACTGGCCCTCCCGCGCAGGAGGCGGCTCGCCGCTGCGGCGCCGTTGGCGACGCTGCCGCTGGCCCTGCTCGGCGGCGCGCTGGCGCTGCGGGGCGGCCCCGCGGCGCAGCGCGTGGCGCAGCGCGCGGCGCGCCCGCAGCTCCTGCTGGCGGAGTTCGAGCGGCGCGGCCAGGACGCGGCCGCCCCGCTTCAGGGGCCAGGCTCCAGGTGCCTTCTGTCAGGCTTCGGAGGCCTCCAGAGGCATCCACACCCACGGCCGTCGCGGGCCAGTGCCTTTGGTGCCGTGCCCCCAGGGATGCGGGGTGCCTTCTCGCGGATCCAGGCCGCGAGGGGTACAGTCAGGATGCTGAAGTAAGGACCGTTTTTGGATTCGGAAGGGGCTCGCAGCTCCCGAGGTCATTCCGAGGTTGTTTTTTCTCGCCACCCTCCTCGTGCACCCAGGCGCTGTTGGTGCTAGAAACGGGCTTTGTTCCACATTTCGTGTTCCATGTTTCAGCAGCCTTGCTGCAGGCCTCCTTGAGGGGGTCTAGATAGATGGGGTCGGAGGATCGCGCCGCATCGCCGATGGCCTCGGCGATGTGTCTCGATGTGGAGGGGTACGGCAGTGCGGCGTCGACCTTGGCAACCCGCGCGACCGTCCAGAAGTTGATGATGTTTTCGCCTTTGTTCTTTGGGCATGCAGTCTGTCAGAGGAGGGCGAGTTGAGACAATGGTAGTTGGCATTCGGGGAGCCCCTCCACGGCTGGACGCAGCTCGAACAACTATTGCGTTTGGACACCGGGAGGGGTCCGGGGACCGATTCGCAGTTGCTGCTGTCTCGACTGGCCCTGCTCCGTTTTTTGGTCCTGAGGACACGCAGTCTGGCAAGGTTGGCCAACAATGGGCCGAGCGTAGCCCCAGACGGGACCAGCGTCTGTCCAGGAGCCTCCTCTGGACAGTTACGCTGTGGGCTCTGGGCAAATTTGGACAAGTTCTGGACCACTCTGGTATTGTATTCTTTAGCGTCCCAGGCGGCTCCTAGATTTGACAGGGATAGCCTCGTGTCCTCGAATTTTGCGCAGATAGCCAGGCGCATTGAGAAGGTCCCTCACGTGAGACATCCGCCAGGATGTTGGATCTGGCACCGACGCGGAGTCGGTGGCCGCGGTCGCGCTCGAGCCGTTCACTTGCGGCAAGTATGGATGCCTAGACGTCCGCAGCATGGCCGCCTGCGGTTGCAGCCAGTACTGCCAGGAGGATGGCAATTGCTGCCCCGACTACACGGCAGTGTGCGCGCCGGCCAGGATCCAGCAGGGCCTGGGCGCATGGGGTGGTTGCCCACAAGGTGCGGCTCCTCCCATGCCGCAGGTGCCGGGGTACAGCCCCGTGGGCGAGGCGTTGAGGGTGAAGGTGCTGTCATACAACCCAGAATGGTGGCACGTCATCGAGCAGCTCGGTGGCAACAGCAACAGTGCTGCGCGGCTCATCTCGAGGGGAGAAACACGCTGATCATGACCGTGTCGCGACCATGATCCAATAATGGACGACGACCAGGATGGATGATGACCAAGATCGGTACCGACGTGTCCGCGTTCAGTCTTGGTCATGGTCCCCGTGTTCTTTCCCTCCATCATCTCCCAGGCAGGGCGGACCCAGCCTTTCGACATCATCGGCTTCCAGGAGTTCTACGACCCCTGGTGGGGCCTCGCCAGGCCAGGGCCCCTTTCGATCCGATCGATCCGATTCGATATCGTTTTCGGCTCGTTCGCTCCGATTTGATTTCGATTTCCCGGCGATCCGATGCGGCTCCGTCCTTGCATGGCGCAGGAGGAGGAGGAAAAGTAGGACGAGGAGGGAGGAGGAGGAGGAGGGAGGAGGGAGGAGGGAGGAAGGAGGAGGGAGGTGGGAGGAGGGAGGAAGGGAGGGAGGGAGGGAGAAGGAGGATGAGGAGGAGGAGGAAGAGGAGGAGCGAAGTACAAGGACTGGTCCTCGCGAGACAACTTGAAACACCGTCAACAATCACGCCCTGAGCCCTAGACCCCGCCTTTCTGCGCCATTTTCCACAGCAGATTGTTCTGTGAGGGTCCGGGAGCCCGAAACGGGGCGACACCGCCCGGCTCGAAGAATTCAGATTCGGCACGATTTCCCGAGTCGACTCTGATCAATCCTGCCAGGCCCGGGTACGACGCCTCCGAGCTGCTGCGGGACTACGCCTACGTGCGGGGCGAGCCAGGCGGACCCGTCGGTACGGTCATCGGCTTCCGGAACGCGAGCTGGTCGCTGCTGGGCAAGGGGCAGCGCTTCGTGGCCGAGGACGAGGAGGGCCCCATGTACTTCGGCACCGCGAAGGACAAATATTTCGGATGAGTAAGAGGGACCGATGCCGTGGCCCTAGCCTCGTTTTCGCCGTTTTAGGCCTCCAGGGAGGCCCTTTTCGCCACCTCTGGATTCGCTT